AAAAAAAAAAAAAAAAAAAAACATCAACGAAGCCTGTTTGCTTCATCATAAATATATCCATACAAACATATGTACATATGAACGAATGGATGTACATAGTTACGCGAAGCACGCTTGCATCATTTACACATATATTGCTTGGCAGCGGCAGAGCTAAAATGCGCAATGACTTCGTTCATACATACATATATATGTATACATACATACGTGCATTCAAACATACATATATACATATGTAGGTACTCGTACCCGTCATGCGTCGCTTTATTTCTTTTTTTCCCTTCCCTATACTACCTATATCTTCCTTCTCACTCATGTAACGTTTTCAGTTTTAAAAATTTCACTCTCCATTTTTTGCGGTACCGCCGCCTAAGAAGTTTCACTTCAAAAAATAAAAAAAAAGAATAAAAAAAGGGAAAGTGAATTCTCACAAAAAAATGGGAAATGGGAATGATTGCATGAAATTTACTATTAGAACTAACTTTCATTTTTCGCATTAATCACTTACCACTAATTAATTAGCAATTAACATAACTAACTACTTCACTACTGGGTTCCCAAAGAAAATAAACAATAACAAAAAAACATGCAAATCTCTCAATTCTATCACTACTCACCCCATGCAACTCAAAACTAGAATAAGGATCTTAGGTTAATTAAAAACATAAAGTTAGATAACTAGTTAAATGAGTAGAATAGTTAAGAGGAAACGGATATGATTAAGATGAAATTTAGAATTAAGACTTTGAGTAGAATAAAAAATATATTAATGTAAAAAGGATATGGCTAAGATGAATTTTAGAATTAAGACCTTGAATTGTATAGAGTTACTATTATAACATGGGTATGGGTAATAAACCATTAGTAGACTAATGTATTAATCTAATCCGTAGCACGTGTCTCTGCGCCATTGGTCATTCATATGACCTATTCAAGATAGACTTACCCCTAGTAACAATACGAGATGGATATGGATGGATCATCGATGGACACTTCAAGCTAATTCATGTGGTAAATTTGGAACGATACGAACTGGCAACAAATCGGCTCGAGTGGGCAATAACTACCTTAAACGAAACAACAGCATCTAAAGAGGTACTACTATTCCAGCTAGGCAGAATCCGCACATGTTTAATCGAACTAAGAGGTCAGATTTAAACGATCTATTAACTGGATTGGGCTTGGAAATTGATTGCTGGCTCACCTGATGCTACGGACTGGGATAAGGTCCTCCGAAACGAAAATTCCCTTAATAAAAACAAAGAGCAGCGGTACAAGGTGAATGATGAAATTTTTAAGAAAACTAATCAGTTATTGCAGAGGCTCAATGGCATTGTGGTCGCCACCAATTATGTGATCAACAAGAGGAACTTGGATAGGATTTCTCAAGAAGTCCAGCATAAAATCTTTATCCTGAAAGAAGACGTCAACGAACTGATCCGTGCTTGTCAGATGGCTAAAGCAGGAGTCGTCAACACCAATTTTCTGAGTATAGAGGAAGTTAACCAGCTTGTCAGTGAGATCGACGTTCTTCCATACAGCAACGCCATCGAAGCGATTGAATATAGCAAACCATCGATCTACACCAACAACACACTCCTCTTATACGTGTTGTCCCTACCAAAGGTCACAGAAGCTAGATTTAATCGCCTGATCGCAAGAGCTAACATACAGAACGGCGTCCGAGTGGAATTGGCATATCAAACAATCCTGACCAATAAACATCAGACATTCGGCATCAAGGAACACTGCTTGCAATTATCTGCTACCATGATCTGTGAAGGGAAATCACTCGATCTGCTACCAGAATCTAGTTGCCTGACTCGTCTTCTCAAGGGAGGACAAACAAGTTGTACTTACGCTACCTGTAACGATTCCACTGTTGAAATCATCAAGGATGATACCATTTTCCTTGACAATTTTATAGGGATTGTAAAATCAGGTAACAATTCAAATACACTTAATGGTTCTTATATCCTCCAGATGGACCATGAAACCGTAGCAATCAATGGCAAAAACTACTCGAGTACTAGTAGATCAGGAGTACAGGAGCTTCCACCAATCTTGGCCAGCGTCACCAACCGCAGTGTGGCAATGAACCTTAACCTAAAACACGGGATGACAGCTCATAATATCAAGCTCCTGGGATACGTCAAGGAGAAAACCAATTGGTTTGCATTTACCGATGGTTTGGTGTTAGTCATACTAATGTTATCCCTTTAGCACATTTGGAGAAGGATTACGGCGAAGATACACCTACCTGCGTTGAACATTGACAACAAGGCTAATTCAAAAACCGAGGAACGTCCATCCAATCTGCGGGACGCAGACCTTTAAAGGGGGGAGCAGTTAACACATCCGCCGTCACCCAACATGTTGCATTCCCCCAGTCCAGCATAATTGACATCCTACACCTTTGTCAAGGCCAAGTGCATTTCATCATATCATGCAATAGCAATATTGTGCAACGCTATCAGACACCTATGGCAACTGTCGGCCACAGTTAGTACCTCTGGCTAATGCTTACGCAACCATTAGTATAACGGAGCCAATGCATTAGACATTGCAGCGGTGTCAGCATAATTTCATTGCACACGGTTGTGAAATCAGTGTGTTGCATATTTCAAGTTACCTGTGGGAATTCAAGGCCAAGGCGGCTCACTGACGTCGCGTATGTCTGGCTATAGAACAACGGCAGCGGAACAGTCTATAAAGGGCAGCAGAACTCGGAGCAGCGGCAGTTGCATCGGGGTGTTATAGTCAATTAGGCTTATTTATTTATGTCAATAAAGTACTTTTATTATAACGTTTAAATTACCTCTTTCAATTCCAGGGCAAGTTGGCCCTTTAATTTTCTTAGTTATTCAGGACCCTCAGTCCTTAACTTCCATATTACATATGAAAAAGCATCCGAGACGTGCAAAACGCCATCCGTGCACTGAAAATTCGTCTTTTTAATACAGGCGTATTTGAATTGAATATTTCCATTATACGTAGTGTATGTATAATGGAAAAATCTACTTCGTTAACACTTTTCACTAGATTTAAATACCAGCATTTTTAAATGGTAATCAAATACAATTTTTTTATTCTTACAACGCTGTTTTTTTCTCAGTGTAGAGGAAACCACGTCATTAAATGAAATAAATGTGTTGTGAAACTGTTATAAATATTTTTTTGTTTCTATTCGCCCAATGTTTTTGCTCGTTTAGTTAAATATTTACTTCTAAAAACATCCCTACCTATAAAACACGATTTAATGTTTTCTTCTACATACGTATGTAATAGATTGGCGCTTACACATATGTTAGTATTTGGTCGAGCTTCTCCTCCGATTTGTGGCGTGCGCCTTGATGTTGTCGCACAAAGCGGTCAGTTTTACGCCGACTCCGAACGGCGATTGTATTTTTATGAGAAGCTGTTTTTCATGGCAGAAATACACTCGGAGGTTTGCCATTGCCTGCCGAGGGGCGACCGCTGTTAAGAAAAAACCTTTTTCTATAATTTTTTGCGATGTTGTTTTGACCAGGGCTTGAACCCAGGTACTGATGAGTGAAAGCGCGCACTGCTTACCAGTTCTGAAATTCCGTGGCTTCAGGCAACCAAGTCTTCTAAATTCAAAACTATCTCAAAGCACAATTAAATTTTTAAAGAAAATTAGAAAATGCCAACTTGAAAAGGGTTAAAACTTATTCATCATTTGACATTATAGTCGGTGGTCAAAAGAGAGAAATGTCAAAATCACTTCTACCTTGTTTAATATGCCTTGGTTATGACTACACATATATCTACGGTGACCATATAAACCAACGTAAAATAAAGGACATTTATTTTCAAAATGATTTGTGAATACGTACATACAACTTCTTTGATAAAAGTACCTTACCCATATCGTAATTTAAATAGATACTTACCAGTTAATTATAATATTTACTTGTACAAACCCCCTGCTGTAGCGAAAAATTAAGCCAAATCCTTTTCAAGGACTTCGCCATCCTTTGCTACCATAATGCGTTTACCATAATTCATACTGCATGATGAAGCCAGCACTCATTGGTTCAAAATTAGCCTTCATCTTTCATCCAATTTTTACTAAAAACCAAAAAAAGTATTTTTTTTTCGTGAACATTTTTTTTATAACATTTAAAATTTTTTTTTTGTGTAATATTTTCGTTTTGAGAGAACCATACTATTGTTTTCAACTAGCTTTTGTTATGTAACATTTATTAACTGGAACAGAAGAATATATTTTCTTCAAAATTGCTACTTTTTCTGCATTTTGTACAAAAAAATTGAATTTAATCAAATAAAAATTCTCAAATCAGGCTCAACTGGTCTCTTGCAAATATTGTAAACTTTCATAATAGAATAATAAAAATTAATCAAATTAAGTGAAAAATGAAGCCTCCACTGAATTAAGAACACTAAATACCAGTTTTGAACCACTGTGCAGCAGGGGTTTATTGTTCTCTTTCAGTGGAACTGGAAACTCAGCGTGCAACATGATCCTGGACACAACTTTCCCTTGTGCTTTATAGATTGTACAAAGATTATCGATTAAATAGAAACCCTTAAGTGGGCTGCGAAACAAACTGGCGAAGGTTTTCATTATATTTTATAAGGCACATTTTTATTTCTCATATTCTGTGTTTAAAAATTTACCTCTGAAAAATTCAATGTACCATTTCCTATATTCTTTAAACCACAAGAAATTTTTTTATGAAACTTTATACGAATATTGACTTGCTAGCATCGCCATTAACATTACCGTCTTTTACGTTTATTTTCCAAGAGTTCTTCAACGACTCGGCGCCAGTGAGTCTTTCGCAATCGTATGCTGCGAATGGTTCATTATACTAAAGCCAGTCTTCCGACATAAGCTACTATTCTATACGAACACAGATATGTATACTTCCTAATAGGCTTGTAAAATGCCCAATACCCAAATCCCCCGCATGAGTTATTATCGGTAAAAAATTGGGTACGCTCAAATCTGGCATCGCTGCAGCAAGTACAGCGCCAGTGAAACAGTGTTGATATTTTAAGTACAATTGTACTTTTTTTCAGTACAATTAATTTTAAAATGTACAAAAGTACATTTTGCCGATTTCAAGTACAATTTCAACATCAAAAATACTTTTTGTATCAAACGCTCAAATCCCTTCTAGCACTTTGATTCTTAATCCGTTTACATTTAAGTAAAGGGATATACCTATATTTCATATTTGCTACAAAAAGAAATTATGAATTGTAATTTTGAATGTAAACGTGATTGTGAACATTAATATTAGTGATGTGCGTTATGGTGACTGCTATTTCTTATCACCGGCGGGTGAAATATCCCTCATCGCTATTTATTTTGAAAAAATCGTTGGAAATTCAATTTACCTAATGGCGATCCTGCAGAAATAGAAGTAATTGAGCAATTCGGGGGTTGAAAGTAAAAAAATGTATGTAAATTCCATGCGTTGAAATTATAAATTTCCCTTCAGGATTTCCATTTTATCGATAGTGATCTCATTTTATGTTCATTAATATGAACTGACCTATATAGTGCATTAATGTTTTATCATCATTAAATAATTTTAATTATTTTTTTTTATAAAATTGTAGCTCATTGTCAAACAAAAACCTTGCAAATAAATCGAGACTTGGAAGAATGAAAAAAATCAACAAAGTTTCATCAAATTTTCACAGTTTTTGTTCAGAACTTGTAGACATGTTTTGGGTACCCATTCATTTTTGTAGCCCATTCATTCTAGTATAATAAGGTGCAAGTTTGAAGTGTCTAGAAAATACCATTGATTTTTTGAATTTTTCTGTTTGCGGTGTTGCGCACTTTTTTCCATATAACGCACGTTCGCATTTTATGTTATATGGATGAATGCGCGTGTAGCGTTGTTGTTTTTTATTCCAACATTTTAAATTAAGCTTTATTTTATAGTTTTTGTTAGACAATGATAAATGATGTACACAAGTTTCAGTATGGAAGAAAAAGCGCAACACCTTCAACGAAAAAAGCTCTCAAAAATATACGCGAATTGAATGTATTATCTCGATCATTTAAACATCTCGGACTCGCCCACCACTAAAAATGATTATTTAAATCTAAAGTATATATTAAATGATATTTAATATTTGCTTTAGAGATGAAATTTCGACAAATGTGTTTAAACAAAAATGTTAAGCGCATATGCAGAATGTGGAAGCGAGATTCTTCTGCTTGCGTTTCTATGTTTATATCATTTATCAGTTTAAGCACATATGATTAAATGTAAAAAAAATATATTTAATTGCGGATCCGAAAGAAATATTTATTAGTTGCATTGAGTTACGCAAAAATAGTGCCGAAAATCAATCGATTGTGCTGAAGGTGCCGGCTGCTTCCGAAAGGGCCGAAAATGGCCCAATGCACACTAATTTTCCATCACTGTCACACATACAATCTCACTATTCTGTTGACTTCGTTTTCCCCTTCCGATAACTTTTTGCTTCCGCGCTTGCCCAGCACCGCTGTGCAGAGCTTTGCACGCGCAGTCGCCCGCGACACATATGTGCTGATTTGGGCATCCCTAACCTACGTAACCGGAATCCATTTTGATTAAAATCGTATCAGCTTATTTTGGCGAAATATTGAGATTCGTCAAGAACAAACTTTTGTTCTCAATTTTTTTTTTAATTCGTTGGATATAATGAAGATAACACTTATAAGCAGGGAACGGATTTTTAGGACCTAAAAACCTATAAAAAAGGCAAAATAAAATAACGAAATAGGCTGGAAAAGGCAAAATAAAATAGCGAAAAAGGCAGGAAAAGGTACTAGGTTTTGCAAAAAAGGCAAAAAAAGGCAAACCAAAATATCGAAAAAGGCAGGAAAAGGCAATAGTATTGCAAAAAAGCAAAATAAGGCACTAAAAAAGGCAGAAAATACGAAGAACAATCAAAAAATACATTTATTTTAGAAATGTTTATATTACAAGTAAAAAGAGAAAAACTATGAACTAGTTTCATTATATGAAAAATTTGTACTTTGAATCTTTGACTATTTTATCCTTTCGAGTTTCTAACTCATAAAACTTTAATCTGTATAGTTGTAGAGCATTGAACCACAAGATGCATTTTGAAGTTTTCTGCCAGCATTTTCATTCGATTTTCGCGAAGAAAAGCCTTGAATGTACTAAATGTGCGCTCGTGCCCTTTACAATTTTATCCACACCCCTTATTGTCTCCAAGCCCACGTTAGCTGAGAAAACGGCTTTGAATTTTTCCAACACCAATTTGGCAAGAGGTCCCTGCGCTTCTATAAGCCGCATGGGCGTGTGTATATCTTTTAATCT